TATTCCGCGCTGACTTTAATACCCTTACCTTTCTAGGGCAGTGTTTGCCTGGTGATTTTTCTTCATCTGTTCTTCAACATAAACTTTAAAATCAACTTATTTCGTTTTAGAAAAGAAGAAAGTGAAGGAGTTGGAGCTGAGGTGGTGCCTAAGGTAAAGATGCGCACAGGGCCCCGCACAGGGCCCACCCGGCAGGCGGCGCCATGCTTGTGTCCGGAGCTTCCGGTGCGCAGGCGCAGGACACCCCGCCCCGCAGGACACCCCGCCCCGCGCACCCGGACCCCCTGTGCAGCTTCCCCATGCGCTCCCTGTTGCCTTCCTGGCTCTCTCGTCCACCCGGGCTCCTAGCAATCACCAGACCAGTGAGCAGGGGGCCCCTTCCCTCTAGAATACCGCCCTCGCGCCGTGTGTTCACCCCAGAAACCTGCAGAGCATGGGCTTCTGGGCGAGCGTTTCACGGAGGACATCTTTATTTATTTACTCTGCGGTACTATGGGTTGAACCCAAAACTTTGCGCTGAGCTGTCTCTCTGTCCTTTTTAAATTTGCCCCCCCGCCATTTTGAGGCAGAGTCTGGCTAAATTGCTACATTACCCAGGTTAGGCTCTAACTTGCGATTCTCCTGCCTCAGCCTCCCAGAGTGCAGTGCTGGGGTTACAGGCCTGTGTCGCCTGTCCCATTCTGATGACCTATCGAAAACTCATTAAAAATCCGTTCTTCGCCCTCATTATTTTCCATTTCCCTTATTACCTGATAAATCTGCATGGTGCTTTCCATGGTTACCGTTTTTCTGTGGGTTCTCTTGCTTCCTTTTTCCTCTTCTTTCTTTTCCTGCCTCCCCCCTTTCCGTTTTGTTCTTCCTCCCTTCTCTCTCCTTTCTTGCTGTTTTCTCATACTGGGATTTTAAGCCAGGGCCTTTGCACTGAGCTACATCCCCTGCCCTTTATTATTTATTCATTTATTTGGTCCAGGCTAGTTTCAAAGTGGAGACCCTCCTGTCCCAGCCTCTCAGAATGCAAGGATTACCGCCCAGCCAGACTTCATGCTTTCTGTTTCTATCCATTTTCTCCCGGCCAGTATTAAGTTTGATGAATTAATAGTTACTTTGAAGTTCTGCTCCTCACTACCTCTACAACTCAGAGTATTTCCGAGCCATAGAAGGAGCTCAACAAACACTTGTCCAAAATTGCATGGACGATTAACACAAACAGAAAAAGCAATCACTTTTGATTCAGTTCATCTACGTCTGAAAATGTCTTAAAAACAAATGCAAGTGAAAGGAGTTGCTTGTCCCAAACAGGCTTCTCCCCTAAGTGGGGGGCACAGAGCTGCCCTTGGGTTTGGCTTCTGTTTTTTTCCCATCCCCTCTCCCTCTGCTCTCCCCATCCCAGGTAGAAATATTTACTGCAGGTTGGAGAAGATTAGCATTTCCAAGTAGTTACATGGAGAATTCCTGCCCTTTTGTCCTGAGCCAGTTCACCACTGAGAAGTGTCACAGTTTAATCTGATAAATGGTGACACACTCCAGATAAATCCAGACCCTGCCACACTACTCCGACTATAAAGGTGAATTAAGACCACTTCACCGCGGAGGAAGCTACTGCAGTTGGGCTGGTTTCCTTTTCCTTCGTATCATGAGAAAGCCCCACCTTCCCCCCAAACACACAGGTGCACGCGCTCACAGGCACACAGACACACATGCACACACTTACCCCTCTGCATACTCTTGTGCCACCCCTGGTGTCCTTCAAGTGAGTGCTGTCTGGTATCTCTTCACTTCCCTTCCCTTCATTTTTGTTGGGCCTTGGACCCAACTTCCAGGACCACCAGGGGCCACCCTCATAGTTCTTTCATCTCCCATGACCTGCAGACCCATCGCCATCCAGAAAGAACCACTGCAGGCCTCCTGAGCTTCGGTTCCCAGTTGCCATAACCAAAGCAGCTGTGGCAAAGCTTCCCACAGGGCCAGCCAGCGGGGAAGGCCCCAAAGTCTTCGGAGACGCCGCTCCTGTGGGGACTGAGGCTGGGATGAGGCCTCGGTGCCGAGCTGACAGGACCAGGCGGGTCTCAGGTGGCAGGACCTCGACTTCCGCTTTCCTCAAGGCAGCAGAGTTCTGCCTGCATTGCAAAGTGAAGCGCTCCTTGGTCAAGAGCCACATGGCACCAGCCAAAGACACCTAATAAGAACAGGTGAGCACTGGGAAATATTAGTGAAATCTATTACTCTTCAATAAATATAAAATGATGATGAAACTATAGCATAAGACAATTAAATATGGCCCAATGCTGCAGAGAGCAGACAGGCTCCCTTCCCTGTGCAGGGCCCCAGGCCACGAACTCCAGGAGCGGGCTCCTCTCTGAGGCTCCAAGACCCCAGCGACCACTGCCCTCCTCCATCTGTCCAAAGCGTCCCCAGCACTGTGATGGCTTCTCACTGCCAAAACTTGCTCAGCTGTGTGCATTCCACACCAGCCGTCTGGGGTAAGAAACCTACAAGGGCATCATTTGCACCCACAGCCACATCAGGTTGCTCTTAGAAAATTTGGAAAAGAAGACAAAATCCAGGAAAAGAAATGAATATTTCGAGGAACTCACCTTGTGAGTTCAGTCAGAACTGGAAGCGTTTCAGTATGATGTGGTCTCACATGGTTGCAATGTCGCTCCTAGTGTACAAGTACTCCGTCAGCTCTGTACAACCTGTTAGTGAAACAATGGAAAATACCTGTGAACAGCAGGATAAGTACTGATTTATAAAGTCACCGACTTTCTTAGAGAATTTCACAGACATTGAGATGTAATTAAAGGGCCCTGTTTATTGATATTTCTTATTTTCCATATGGCAGGCAAAAATAAACGAGAAGGATGTGCGTTGGCTTTGTTATTCCCCCTGAATGTGCTTGGTTAAATGATCACATTGATCCACTTCAAAGCCCCAAACCCTGGCTTTATAACAAAAGCCAGAGAGAGAAATCCACTTAGGAAATACTGCACTTTCCTCATCGTAAATTTTTACTACAAAGCACCGTCTGCTTGACCTCTTAATAATCCTCTTCTCTGGCAGCGAAGGCTGTGCAGGGGCTTCCTGCAGAGCTCCCAGCCCTGGCCCAGCTCCCTGCCCAAGTCCAGGGGTGCCCCTGACCTCCTTTGGTGGGAAGACGTTGGGTGCAGGTTGCCTGTGCCTGGCCCTCTCTGTGAGCCCTCAGAAGGGGGTTTTCTAAATCACACTCCAGTAGATGGCTACCTTCCAGCAGCCCTGGAGCCCAGCTCTGGCCGCAGAAATCACATTTCCTAGCTCCTCAGCTGTCCCCAGGTGCCCTCGCTCACCTCAGCAGGATCGCTGGTCAGTGAGAGGCAGATGCTGCTCAGGGGAGCTGCCTGCTCCCTTCCTCCCTGCCTCATTCCCATCCCTCTGTCAGAGCCGTGCCTCAGGCTGCACGTGGAAAGGGTCCAGCCTGGAGCACCCCGGGGGACCCCAGCAGAGGCAGGAGGACTCAGCCGCCTGTGAGCAGGCTGAGCTGTGCCCTGTCCTCCTCCGCAGACTGGCCCAGGGGTGGCCTTGCCGAGACCACGAGTGTGAGGTCCTGCAGACCTTGTGGGCGAGCTATCCCACCCCAGGTACCATGGCGATGCCAGGCGCGGGTCCCAGAGAAGCACCCGAGGCGACGGTGCCTTCCCGCAGCACAGGCCCTTCCCACACGAGTCCAGGTTTGCGGCTTTGGGCTCAGCACACCCCCAGAATGAGCCTGGCCAAGGCTTTGGTCAAGGTGTGACGTGGCCGCAGGCACAGCGCACAGGCAGACCTGCTCTGTGGGTCCCCGCCCTGCAGCACTCCTGCCTTCTTGAGCGAGCGAGCGTGGCGTGTGCCCCTGAGTTGTTTGCTGGCTGGGTTTCTGGACGGACACCCCCACCTGCGCTGCCCGACCTCAGTGAGAAGGAAGCCCGGGTGCCCCAGGCATTGGCTGCACAAGGGTGGCATTCACTCTGTCAGGCAGTTTCTCCTGAGCAGAGGAACCGTGGAGCTCGCCCTTTGCTCCACAGCAGGTCCACATCTGGGTCCCCAGTCTGTCTGCCACCCCCACGCTGACAGGGTGATCCTCCATCGCCCAGGAGCTGCTCTGTCACCCAAGCCTGACACCCAGCTAGGGCTGTGACGCACCATCCGCATCTGCAGGCACCCAGTCTCACGGAGGGACCCTGGAGCTCGGATGGGGGATCCCCAGGACAGCAACCCCTGGAGGCGGGGTCTCTCACAGGGCCGCCCTCAGCCAGGTCCCCCAGCTTTGTGAGGTCCACAAACAGAAGGCAGAGGCAGAGGGCCCCCCGGGCAGAAGACTCTGGCCACTCCTGTGCAGGACTTGCAGACGGTCGGGCTCAGGGCTGTTTCTGGCTGCGACTGTGGTCTGAGGACTCCCGGCTGGGTGGTTGGGGGCCTCCCGGCTTCTGGCCTCGGTCTTGCACTTCTGTATGCCCTGTTCTAGAGTGCGAGTGAAGCCCAGGCATCGTTGTCCAGGTGGATGGAGAACTAAGTAGCCTTCCACGCCGAACAGCTCAAGTGGACAAAGGTTTCGGTGTTCCTGGGTGGAGCGGTAGTACACGGAGGCAGCCAGCCTGTTGGCAGCCGTCTGCGTATAAAGAAGGAGTGGTCCTTCCTGACTTTGGGCGGTGGTGTTGCTTGGCTGCAATTTTTGATGAGGAATCTTGGGCACATTCCATGCAGTGAGTGTCACCACCCAAGGCACTGGTATCCCAGGACGTGAAATCACCAGTGGGAGCCACTTTGGGAGGGCAGAACCAGGACTGCCTGGTCTCTAGAGCCTGCTCTTTCTGCTAGCCGATCTCTTTGGGAAAATTGTCTACTTTCTCCATGTTTTTAGTATTTTCTGTTTTATTGGTCATTTCTCACCCTGCTGAAGACACTCATTCTCTTAACTAAGAGAAGAATATCGCCCACCAACCCACAGCAGGCCCCTCCGAGCTCCGAGCACACCACTTCTTTGCATCTTCGCTTCTCACCTTCCAACTCGGCTTCTCCGTGGTGGACGCGCCCACCCAGAGACTCCCAGGTGTCTTTGGGTCCGGCCTGCAAGAGGGAGCCCTGGCTTCTCCTTCATGTGGCTCCCGGAGAAGCAGAGGAAGCACATTCTGAAACTGCTCACAGGACAGAGCTCATCCCAGGCCATTTCTGGGCCCCATCTCTGCCTCC